ATTCACCCATCACCCTCTGCCCCCCACCTGCTTGACTTCGATGAGTGTCTCCTGTATTATTTTTTTACTTAATTTAACTAAAATTTTACCTTTAGTATCAGGTTGTGGTTAAAAATCATATTCCCCTATGTGTAAGTCTGTCTATTCCAATCTCAATATGTGAATATATTAAAATACATATTCTGGTACAAGTGAAGGTTAATGCCGTCCAAGGCAAACATAGAATTGGAAAGTATGATGTCATTGAGTTCTGAGCTCTGTGTTGGTTTATTTCCCAGTGGTGACAATAACACCCTTTCGGAACACCGAGGGTTACCAATAGATCCCACAGCCCAGGCTGCAGGAGGCTCTCAGACACTGCCCTTTGTCTGTCCTCCACCCCCGCAGGACCCCTGCACCTGGCTGACAGGACAACCCTGAGTCTAAGTCCAGGGCGCAGGTGTACAGAGAGGAGACCTCTCCTGACCAGCCCCTGGCGAGCACCCCCAGGGAGAGCAGACGGTGCTCACTCTGCCACACCAGGAGAAGCAGGTGGACGGGGCGGGCGTTAGTCCTCCACTCCTGAGAAAACAGCCAGTGGTGGGTGCTGCCACCCAGCCCAGGGTGTAGTGGGGAGCATGGTCAGCTGGAGGAACACACCTGGCTTCAGTAAGAATGAGGAGAAGGAGCTGATGCACCAGGCGTGAGGGAGAGACAAAGGGACCTGGTGCCCGTTGTGTCTAGATGTCCAGGGAGACCAGGAGCTTTGGCAGAACAGTGAGGAGGAGGAACCGTCTGAGGGTGGACGACCAGGAGCTAGGCGGAGGGGAGGACACACTGAGATGACAGCTCTTCCCCGCACAAGGCAGGGAAAAGGCAGGGGCCAAACAAACCCCCAGCACATACAGAATCGTCTCTGCAGAGAAGAGTTTGCTCCTGAATGACCAACACAGCGTAGGAGACACAACACCCTCCGTGACGCTACAGTGTACTGGGCATGTTTCCTTACTGCAAAGATATTACTGAAAATTTATCGACAGCAGATAACTGAAAAAAAATAAAGCTTAAGTTTGTATGAAAATCAGGTCAGAAATCATCCAATTGTAGATGAAAGAAACCAGGACACTGCAGGGAAAGTCCACCAGGAGTCTTGAGGAAGACTAAGAACAGGCAGAGACAGGAAACAGCAAGGTCTGGAAGGAAACCTCAGCTTCCCTGTGCACCTGCTGAGTTGCTGGGGATGAGCCCCCTGGCGGCCCCGCGCGCCCCTGCAGCAGGTTTTTTGTCTGTTCTCACACTGATGTCCCCTCACTGTGTCTCTCGCACAGTAGTACACGGCCGTGTCCTCGGCTCTCAGACTGTTCATTTGCAGATACAGCATGTTCTTCCCATTGTCTGTGGAGGTGGTGAACCGGCCCTTCACGGCATCTGCGTGGTTTGTGTCACCACCATCACTATAAATGTACGAGACCCACTCCAGCCCCTTCCCTGGAGCCTGGCGGACCCAGTGCATGTAGTAGTCACTGAAGGTGAATCCGGAGGCTGCACAGGAGAGTCTCAGGGATCCCCCAGGCTGGACCAGGCCTCCCCCAGACTCCACCAGCTGCACCTCACACTGGACACCTGCAAACACAGACACATCCTGGTCAGAAACTGCCACACACACCCCTGTTTCTCTCACTCACATCCACTCACACCCAATATCTCTAGTTCTCCGTGAATTACCTTGTAACAGAGCAACAAGGAAAACCCAGCTCAGCCCAGACTCCATGGTGAGTCTCTGTGTTCAGTCCTGATCACCGAATGGGGACACCTGGGAATGCCGGGGCTGGGGCTCCTCTCCCAGAGCTGCAGGGTGAGGGCTGGGCTGGTTTTCATGAGCAGAGGGAGGGCCCTATTTGCATGTCCCCTGCTATATAGCAAGCTCTGGAGTCGGGATGCCTGAGTGAGGGCAGGCCGTAGAGAAGAGGTGACATTCCCGGGGGAGTTCATAGCCCATGATATTTTACAGATGAAACCTGACACACAGAGGCATGGAGGAGTTGTAAAATATGCAAAGAGCACACACACATATTTGTTGAGAGCTACCCAAAATATCTGGGTTTTTGGTCCTCAGCACTGGATCCTACTTTTTCTGTGATCCAACCCCAGGACAGATGTGGACATGCCTCATAGAGTTTGTAGAAACCCCTTTATGTAATGAGAGCATGATGAGATTGTGCTTCATTGTATTGTTACCTAAACTTCAAGGTTGCATCAATATTTGGGCCTCAGCGTCTCGTCTGTCCTCAACAGCACCTCACCTGTGAAGTGAGCCTCACTCAGCTGAGGGTAATCAGGTTCACACAACTTGTCAAATGCAACTGCTGCTACCTCTGTGTTGGGCCCAGGGCACATGAGTGGCTCCACCAAGAATTAATTATAGTTTGTCCTTACATTTCTGTCTGAGCAAGCAGGTCCACACAGGTCCATGATTAGTTCAAAGCGCTATGAAAGGCTTGGGACAGTAGCCAGACCTATCTTTGTGGAAGTGTCAATGTGAGTGTCAGTGGTCAGCCTTCCTTGTCCACTGCTGCAGATAGTTCTCTGGTTGTACTTGTTATTCGCCAGCATCCCCCCTCACCTACACTGTGGACTCTTCTAACACATGGCCAGCACTTTACAGTGAGGGTTGCTCTGTGTTGCTTCCCTAGTGGACTCAAGCCTCAACTCTATGGTACCATTGTCCTTGGTCACTTGGACATTTCAAGCGTGTGGTTGATGCAGTTGACCTCCCCGGTGTTGAATTTAGTGGAGAAACCCACAGACACTGTCCAGGCCTGAGGGAATGGCCCTGCCTCTATGAAGACATTCAAGCTTAGCCTCAAAAGGAGAGTTAATGTCTATCAGTGGGAGAGCGCCTTTTCTTTGTTCACTGGTCCACAGTCATGAGGACACCAATCAAGGGACATCAGACCAGGCCACTGATACAGGGGAGCACATTGTGTCCAAGTAGGAGTGTTCCTACCTGGGAACCAGGACTTCTAATCTATTACGGCCTAAAATTATGGCAATAAGAAGAAAAAATTTCACAGGTTTTCACCATGGATGTGGTGTTAGTAATTAATCTCACTTATACCCCTGATTTCCAGACCCATGTGCCACAGAACACTATAATGCCCATTATTTTGAGGTAAATGCAGCGAGTCTTTGTGACCAGGAAATCCCTGCCACAGACTTTGGTTTAGGAATATGTTGCCTCCTTGAAGACAAATTTATAAAATGTGTGGGTCATACTCACTCTGAACTATTTGCAGAGACTTGAATCAGTCCTTTTATTTTTCTATCCTGCTATCTGTTTCTGGAAACATCTGATTGATACAGGCTGATTGGATCCTGTTCTCATATTTACACAGTCACATCCCCCATCCCTTAACAACAAACAGATTCCTTGGTCTTAAATAACATCATGAAAGGTCTTATGTCAGAGATGCAGATATCAGAACCTGGGCAGGGATTCTGAAAGAGCTGTGGCAGGGAAAGCAATCTCACATTAGAATACTGCTTAGTTCTGGTTGGCACAAATTGCAGCCACTCAAGAGTAGATGTGTTCTGAGGAAATCCACTTGCTACCATGTGGATGGTAGGTGTTCCTGCAGGATGGGGTTATGTTGACAGACTGGTGTAATAAATGTCACTATCAGATCAGCAAAATAACAGGAGGTGTTAGGTCAGGCCTGCTGGGAGGCAGCCCTGGTCATGCTCCATCCCTCAGCTGGAAGAGGCCTGATGTTACCACTGCCAGCACAGAGACTGGTAGAGCCATATTGGTTGGACTCCCTAAAGTAATTTAAACATGGTCTGCTTTGACCCTCTGACCTGAGAGAACAGCTATTTATTGCTGAGACTGCTGATTCATTATAAAGACTAATATAATTGTACAGACTTCATGATGTTATTTGTGCTAGAGTGTTGTGAGTTTAGTTAATTGGACTGATAGCCGAGAATTTTTAACATTTAAGTAGCTTGTAGAGTTCGAAGAAACATTGAGGGATAAGGTACAGATTCTGAACTAAAATGCTAGGACAAAGCAATTCACAAAAGGATATTAAGAATGTCTAAATGGATATAGAGAACTCAGGTTACGATTGGTTGTGCAGGGAGATACGTAAAAATGATCAATTATATTGACAAACAGAATGTTAATTAATGATATCAGTGAGATCAGGTTATAGAGTTGTTTGCTAACAGCTCATATTAGAATGAGTTAAAGACAGAATCCAACTTGCAAAATCAGGACGCATGCAGGGCATTTGACTCTTTCAGTCTGCCTGTGAAGATAAAAGGGATGGGTTTCATCAGGTTGGGAGGTGAGATTGCACATTTTGAAGAAGGTTATCCATGGAAAGTTGCTAATAAAATCAGTCTGGTCATATTTGGGTTCAGAATTGCCATGCGTGTGGTGCCTCCAAGCTTTGGCACAGGGCTGCATGAGCAGATGGACCCTCGTGCATTTCCAACCACTTTCCTATCAACCAAGGACTTCCAGATTGTGATGCACTAACATTTAAAGTCAGTCTTTTTATCAACTCTAGTGGTTTCTAGGCAGAATCTCTGGGGTTTCCTAGATCCAAGATCATATCATCATCAAAGAGGGATAGTTTGCTCTCCCTTTCCCCATTTGCATCCCATTTCCTTCTCTTTTGTGAATGCTCTGGCTAGATTTCTTACACTATGTTGAATAAAAGTTGTGTGAGTGGGTATTCTTGTCTTGTTCCAGTTGTAAGTGGGAATGCTTTCAACTTTTCCCCATTGAGTATGATGTTGGCTGTGGGTTTGTAATACATAGCTTGTATAATTTTAGGGTATGTTCCATGTAGGCCTATTTTGTTAAAAGTTTTTATCATAAAAGCATGCTGGATTTTGTCAAATGGGTTTTCTACATCTATTGAGATGATCATACCATGTTTGTCTTTACTCCTTTTTATGTGGTGAATCACATTTATGGATTTATGCATATTGAAACACCCTTGCATC